CACAACATGCGGTTTTTAAATGAAGGTTTTTGTTACTAAGGGAAAACAAAATCCAAAACTACACGGCCCTGTGTGAAAAAGTGTTTGCCCCCTAAACCTAATAACTGGTTGGGCCACCCTTAGCAGCAACAACTTATTACGTTCAAATCTCATGAACTCTTGATGGGAGAGATGGTATACACATTTTTTTCCATGCGGTGCCTTGGGCTCCCATAGGCACATGCTAAACTGGGTTAGATCCAAGAAAGGAGATCCTCGAGGATTCATTTCCTGACTTTGAGAGGAGAGTTCTCCAGTGGTTCTGGATGGAAAATAAATGTGTGCCAATTCTGACAACATGGAAATTGGGCTGGGTCTTCAAGGGCTTGTTTATGTCAAGAGGCTCTTGGTAATTGTGATTTTTCTTTGCTGGGTTATGGTGCCTCTGCCCATTAGGAAGGGCTCCACCCTTCCATTCACTCTGAACAACTGCAGAGCTGCTTTAGCGACTAATCGAAGCAAAACACTCTTCACACTTCATGCCTTAAATAAGGACCACAGAAACGGGTCAATAAAAGCTCCTGCTGCTCTCAGCAACAGAACTCAGAGGAGGGGTGTGATCATGCTCACTAAATATGTCAGCAAAAAGCCCATTGTAAATGAGGTCACTGAATAAGCAGAAGAGCATGTTCTGGATAATACCCCGATCAAACCAGCTGAACTGTTTCACAAATCCAGAACATAGGCTCGTGAGGCGTGAGTTGAGAGATGCTCATCTTCACTTTTCATCATATTTTCCTAAAACAGACCAATATTTATCTGCCATTTAATAAAATTGGTTATATATTAAACATTGGCTACAAAAATGCAATGATACCAAATACACCAATGTTCAATAAATATTTACATTTCTGAAATATAATAACCAGTATCAACAATTATTCTGCTAAATAATATAGTTGCTGTTTACACAGCCTATTGCAAATATCAGGGTGATGAAAATTAAGCTCATGAAATCAGTATTTATTCAGTCAGCCGACTTATACTTAACACAAAAACACTTTTTAAACCAATTTATTAAAATTAAAGATCTGACTTGATTGCCAAATTCACAAATTGTCTCAGACTTCTGAACACTACTTGAAAATATAGTTAAGATATAGAATAATTGCTTGAATTGTTTGATTAATATAGACACAGGGAAGAGCAGTGCTATCCGCAGGTGTAGAAGTTAGTAACCTGGATGTGGTGTGCACAGTTATTTTATCTGTACAAAATAGTCTGCTTTATATTGCATACTGGTTTTTCTTATCATATTATATTTTATTAATTATCATAATCATAAACACATTTAGGCCCAATCCCAATTCTACCCCTTAGCCCTTCCCCTTTCCCCTACCCCTCCGTTTCGCGCGTTCACGTGAAGGGGTAGGGGTGTCTCGATTCTCTTTTGGTTGGAGGGGTAGGGGTAGGGGTAGGGGAAGGGCTAGATAGCCCTTCAAACGAAGATTTTTCGGGACCACACTTCAAACGAAGGGGTATGAATTATCTCAGGGTAAACCGGCTTCAGCGGCAACATGGCTGCCCGAGTAAACAAAAAGACAAATAAATGTAAGCATTTTTGGCATTAATAAAGATTTTAACGAAAAGTAATCATTTGTTTTGTTACATTCGATCGTGAGTTCATATTTACGGTCATATTACTCAAAGAAATGTTTGCAAAAAAATCGCTAATATTTGCTAACTAACGTCATATCATTATAGACTGCACGATAGTGCCACAACATATTTTCATGTCTGATCAGGGCGATAACCACCGTAGACATTGAGGGGGGCTAGTCCCCCCAATAATTAGAAATCGCTAAACCCTTTTCTCAAATATTGCCAATTTGAGAGAGAGAGAGAGAGAGAGAGAGAGAGATGAAAGTTGCATGTATGTGCATCTGTGCGTTTCTCTTTTTCGAGTGAGTTTACTTAAAAAAACAGCAATTTTATCCTCTCGTCGCTGGAAAATATAATGTATCGATTCAGTATGTAAACTGTTATTAATAAAAGTTGTGGGGCAGCGTTGACAAGTTTCTTTTCTCCTGGATGTGTGAGCTGCGCGATCTCCGATATATGTGTGTGTGTGTGTGTGTGTGTCAGTAAGCAGCGCATTAATATAGAACGGTAATTAAAGGCTCTAATGCACACCAGCACACCAGTATGTGTGTGTATTATAGGAGCTAGACGACGTATGATGACGTGTGACGTATAGTAGTGGTGTCCCAATTCTTAGGGGAATATTTTCACCCCTACCCCTAGGTAGGGGAAGGGGAAGGGGTATAAAATAGAATTGGGATTGGGCCTTAATTGAAGCCCCAATAATTTGACCATTTACTGCAGTTTATCTAGTTATTTACCTATAGTGGCAAATCAATTGGAATCTTGCACATTTACAGAAAATGGCTCACTTCTGCATTGAAAAATAAGGTGGATAGGGATAGAAAGAGCGAGATGACTGGTTTTGTTTGTGACTCTTGACACTTTAGCTGTGTGTGGGTTCATGTGTGTGGGATGTGTGGGAAGCATGTGTGGGTGATTCTGATTAACAGTCTGACTGCTGCACTGAAATTACTCCATTTGAGACCTGATCTGATCCTGCTGCCCTAAAAAATTTGAGATTGACTCATTTATCAGTTTTGAGCGGCAGCAGATAGCAAGTCAGAGGCGACTGTACCAAGGGAAAAAGCTCCATAAGACGTTTATGCAGTGGAGGGAAAGAACCTGTGGGAGAATTCATTACAGAGAATTCATGCTCCTCATGTGGGTTTTTTGAGAAAAGCAAACACTGAGCTCTCTCTTCACTTCATTTCATTGTTCATTGTTGAAGAAAGCTGAACTTTGATGTCTCTGTGTTTGTAACTTGCATGATTTTAAAGGGGTTTTCCATCAACAAACTGCGTCAGTACAGGAGCCAGAGTACAGCAGCATGCATGTGAAGTGGTTCATCGTATCTTTCCCTCAGATTCAGAGAACTTAAAAGGGTTTTTACACTGTTAAATTTGAGAAACTGAGTTTCTTTTCAAATCAGCTTTCATTGATTTAGTGCAGTAGTTATGTCATATGTTTTTCTACATAATTGGTGATGGTGTTTTTAAGGTCATAAACTTTCCTTCTGATTTTGAGAAAATAGGCATAATTCCAATGTGGTTTTTAGAGTGTGTTGACCCAGTATGAGCTAGGCTTGCCGCGATAGACGGTGCTGACGGTGATACCGGTGTTGAGCCGCAACACCGGTTATGTCACTTGCCCACCGCGGCACCGACCCCCACCGTCGTTTAGATTTTTATAGTAATAAAAATAATTTAGTTCAGTAAAAGAACAGACACTACAATTAAAAACTGAACGTGGCTGCTCAATGCAGCGTGCCGAACGACAGTCGCATCACAGATCAGATTGCATTTATTCAGTGAAGGAGAGTGAGTCGAGCTGACTGACAAGAAGAGTGAGGTGAGACAGACAAGACGAACGCGGATGATTTAGTTTCGAAACGAGATGCAAAAGTGCCTGTTTGGCAATATTTTGGATTTTGAAAAGCCTGTTGACTTTTGCCGTTTATCTAAGGTGATTTTGGACGTTTTTTTAAACATTAATTTATTATTTAATTGGTTCCACATTGTTTGCTGATTTTTACTTTATTTAAACTTTGTGTCATTTATTTATTTTTTTTTACATCAAGGTGTATGCCGTGCCTCCAAGCTTTCTTACTCGTTTTGCTAATAAACGTTCTACGTTTCTTATTTATTTGGTTATATATTATACATGTTTACTTAGCCTATTTCCAGTTTTGTATACCTATTTAAACTTTATGGAAGTTATTTGTTATTTTATATTAGGCATAGCCTGCCCTATAGCATGGTGTATTTTTATTTGTTTTGTTAATAAAAGTTCTATGTTTTATATATATAGGCTAAAGTGAGTTTGACGTTGTATTTTGTTGTTGCATTCAAGCAATTGATGCCGAACTGCTGCTATTTCGAAAGTGAAAGTAAAATGCGCACGGCGCTTTTAAGCTATTTAAAAGCGAGGAAAAGAGGGGAAATTCAAACGAACTAAAAACGAACAATTGCTTTACGCCGAATTGCCGCTATTTGAAAGTGAAAGTAAAATGCGCACACAGCTTTTACAAGCTATTTAAAAGCGAAGGAAAGCGAGGAAAAGAGGGAACGCCCCCGCCCCCACGGTGGTACCGGTATTACCGATGTTGTCACACGTCGATTAACCGGTGGGAAAGTTTCTCACCGTCACAACCCTAGTATGAGCTGATTTTTTTTTTTAAACATGGAAATAAGTAATTCCCATAAATCTATATGTTTTGTCTCTGTTGTCTCCGTAATTTCACCAAAACATTGGTAGTTTTTCATGGTCACCTTTTTTTTTGTATCTCATTTACTGGCCTCCACATATTGTTGTACTTCACACAGATTCATTCGGGTGGCTCAGCTGCTCAATACTCCGTAATTAGTGATAAAATGGGCGGCCATATGCTTACGGTTGTGATTTATAACTACGATAGAAATATTTTTGCAGTTTAGTTTTATTAAATAGCCTAATCTTAGTGGACTGTGATGGAAGCTTTGAGTTTTATGTGTTACAGTAGGAAAATTCAACTTCACCGTATGATCCCTTTAATTTCAAGTGTAACTGAATATTTAAGAAGGATTATCAGCTGTGAAATGAGTGGTTTTGACCACCGAGTTTTCAGCACCCTCACAGATGGGGTTTGAAATGGTGATGGGTTGCCATGGCTACAGGAGGATGCTGTGAGTGAGATGTGACACGGTGAATGAAAGTTTGTAAAAGGACTGTGGTGTCTGGCTAGAGAGTAAAATACTGTGTCGATTCTGTCTACGGTCCTTTCTTTCACCTAATGTTTTATCATATCACCCCTGGTAGCTTGTAATCAGCACTACGACATTATCAGAACATTTCAAATTGTTTGGCTGACAAAAAACGTGTTTTTTTTCTTTTGTCCTCAGTGCCTGACGACCTCACGCCTGAGGAGCAGAAAGAGCTGGAAAACATCCGCCGGCGAAAGCAGGAGCTGCTGGAGGACATTCAGGTAATGAAGAACTGGGGTGAATCATTCATTCATTCAACTCCAGCTCCGATATGAGCCAAATGTTTTAGCTGCATGTGTAGTGGAGGCTCTTTGTTTTCATAGTAATGCCTTTTTCTCCTTACTGAAGCATTGAATGTTTCAGAGACTGTGAGCCGCCTCTGCATCTGTCCTCCACTCAGTTTAACGGAATATCTTCTGATCTTTTATTAAAGGTTTATTTACACATCAGAGATTTGCTGAAGCAAGCAGTGCCCTGTTAGCAACTAAATGGCATTGACAAACAGAATGACATTGAAACAGAAATTTGACATAAACCAGATTTAGAAATTTGAAATACCAACATTATGGTATTTAAAATTCTCCCAAAAATGACGTTTATGGCAAGTTAGAGAAAACAAACACAGACTGGTGTCCCATGTTTTACTCTTACTATTTTATTTTGAAAGCGTTCTGTTGAAATTCACATTCTGTATTAATGTGCCAAGTTGCTTAAATAAAAAAATAAATAAAAGCATTAGTTTTAATATTATTTCATCTTATCTCTCAGCTGGTATTAAAGAACTTCAGGAATCTAAAAATATATGTGACCCTGGACCACAAAACCAGTCATAAGGGTAATTTAAAAAAAAAATTGAACACTCCACTATTTTTTAAAATAGGCTCATTTTCCAACTCCCCTAGAGTTAAACAGTTGAGTTTTACCGTTTTCGAATTCATTCAGCTGATCTCCGGGTCTGGCGGTAGCACTTTTAGCTGTAGCTTAGCATAGATCATTGAATCTGATTAGACCATTAGCATCTCGCTCAAAAATGACCAAAGAGTTTCTATATTTTTCCTATTTAAAACGTGACTCTTCTGTAGTTACATCGTGTACTAAGACCGACGGAAAATGAAAAGTTAGCATCAAGCCTACCCTACCTACCCTTTCTAAACCAAACTTCTACATGTTAAGGTCTTCTGACAGAAGTGGTTCTGTTTTCCTTTGGGAAGACGAAGGTCTGGGAAAGCAAAAACAGCTTTTTCTTTGCTAGTGATTTTTTTAGACGTACTATATAAACAGACAAGAACAAACACTTGAGCGAATTTCACCGTGCAGTTGGTGGTTAAACAGAAAAAAATTAATACGAGGAGGGAAAACTCTTCATTGTGTGACCTCAGGACCAGTCTGGCTCCAGACCGCCACTAAACTCTTGGGCCTGTATCCTAACTCCATTAATCTATGGTAAAATAATCCAATTTTGATGTCTATAGTCTTTACTCTGGGGCCATTCTCCAATTGTCCTCCTTTAATGGCATTTATCTCGAACAGAGCAGTCTAGCGCAAACGATTCATCTGCTGGAATGAGATTTGAGCTGTTAATGTCAGGCCTCGGTGAGGTAGGACAGGACACAGTGCTCTCTTCTAGTAGACCTTTACACAGTGTTACACAGATAAGTATACGTTTCAACAATAAGGTAGGAGAAGTCTACTTTGATTGGCTGATTGTGTTGCTTCATGCTGAATTTCGCTTTCGGCGAAGACAGAAAAAGTACCTTTTCAGGACACGGTGTTTCGGGATTACTGTAATTGGGGTTGTTTCACTCAAGACACAACTCCAAACACAATGTGCATGTCTTTTTGTTTCATTTCTCATCTTTATCGACCACTGTAGTGTGGCGTTATTATCTCTGGAGTCTCGTTTGATTTGAACCATCTCATGTCCTCTCACCACAGCGTCTGAAAGATGAGATAGCCGAAGTGACCAGTGAGATCGAGAACCTGGGTTCCACAGAGGAGAGGTGAGTGGGTGACCCCTGACAGACTATTCGAAATCACTTGATTTCCACTGATGCGGCCACTTTGAGAGTCATGCGTGAGGTCAATCTGACTAGCATCTTAGCTGAGAAAAAACTGTCAGCGTATTTTTAAAAAGTGTTCTGTCTGTGAAAGAATAAAGAGATTAGAAAATGATTCCAGTACTTATTCTTATTCAGAATAAGAACCAAATTTCAATTCTCAATCCCAGTTTGATTCCACAAGACTTGTCCATTCACTGCAGTAGTGGTTTCACTTTTGGATCCATTATGGATGATGTCTGTATATTTACATTTCATTTACATTTAATCATTTAGCGGACGCTTTTAACCAAAACGACTTAGAAATGAGGGCTATGGAAGCAATCAAACCAACAAAAGAGCATTGATATAGAAGTGTTGTGACAAGTCCCGGTTAGTCTAACGCAGTACACATAGCAAGTTTTGTTGTTGTTGTTTTATAATAAATAAAAAAGAATAAAAAGTAAATAGAAAAGAGATTGAATATATAGAGCTAGTTTTAGAGTGTCAAGTTATTTATTTTTATTATAATTAAAAAGAAAATAAGTAGAAAAAGAATAGAGAACGCTAGTGTTAGAGGGTCGTTTTTTTATTTGTTTTCTTTTTATTTATTAAAAAAAAAACTAAGTAGATAGAATAGAGAGTTCTAGTGTCAGAGGGTCAAGTGTAGATGGAAGTGTTTATCAAATAAACCTTATGAGATCTTTTGTAAAAGGGCATCATAAAAAAGCATTAACCTCAGGAATTTCTAAATAAAAATCATTATTGTCCCTGCAGGAAAAACATGCAGAGGAACAAACAAGTGGCAATGGGCCGCAAGAAATTCAACATGGACCCCAAAAAGGTGATTAAGCGGACTATTAAAGCATATTCACTGCACGATTTCTGTATCATTTGTCTTTATTTTAGAGGCTACGCACCTTGAATATATGTGTGTTTGTAGGGGATCCAGTTCCTCATTGAAAATGACCTTCTGAAGAACACCAGTGAAGACATCGCACGCTTCCTCTACAAGGGTGAAGGTCTTAACAAGACTGCAATAGGAGACTACCTGGGAGAGAGGTGAGAGTGTGGTTATTAGTGCATGTCCATTGGGTCAGATAAAGCACCGTTCACACTGAGGCCTACTAAATAGAAAATAAAAAGAAACAGAAACCAGTAGTTAAAGGGATACTCCACCTCAAAATGAACATTTTGTCATTAATCACTTACATCCATGTCGTTCCAAACCCGTAAAAGCTTTGTTCGTCTTCGGAACACAATTTAAGATATTTTGGATGAAAACCGGGAGGCTTGTGACTGTGCCATTGACTGCCAAGTAAATAACAATGTAAAGGCCCAGAAAAGTATGAAAGGCATCGTCAAAATAGTCCATCTGCCATCAGTGGTTCAATCTGAATTTAATGAAGTGGTGAGAATACTTTTTGTACGCGAAGAAAACAAAAATAACGACTTTATTCAACAATTCGTCTCCTCCGCGTCACCGTAGCGCCATTTTGGAGAGTATCCACTGAACGTAAACTGCGTATGCTGTTCTGTGTCAGCCGCACCACACGGATACGTTTTCTACATTTATTTACGCTTTGATTTGAATGAAAACAGCGTATCTGTGTGGTGCGGCTGACACATTTGTGTTCTTCGCTGAATTCAAACGTTTCTCGCCGGATCTCACAGCGCTGGTCGCGAGTAAACACATCTGCTGTTGAGCCGAGCTGATAATTGAAAAATATATTGTGATAATTATCGTTATCGGTTTATTGCCCAGGCCTACCTGTTGTGTTAGAATCAGCAAAATGCTTATTGCAGAATAATTTTGACTTTAAACTTGTAAGTAGCATTTGATCGGTTCTACACCTTTTAAATGCACCATCAGTAGAAACATTAGTTTAGCCAAAGTCCTAAGTCATGTCACTCGGCAGCCATCTTTGAAACGCCTCTCGGGCATGCAAGTGCAACTCCTATCTCTTTGAATGGGGAAACATCAAGTTCTACAAAACTGTTCACTAAGCTTGCGATTAAATTTCATATTTGAAATCACCAAAGAAATCTGATATGTCGTAAATGTTGTTTATTTTGCTCAAATAGTGTTATAAAAAGCTTATTATTCAGGCTAGATCAGCCAGTGCGCATGCGCAGTCCTAAGCGCACGTCTCAGAGCGCTGACTGTTTCTATAGCAACCGGACTTCTAACGGCAGCTACAGTGACGCGCTGACTTTACCAATTAGCGATTGGCTCCTTCATTCAGAAGGCGGGGCTTCCTGCGATTGAGCGGCCATATTGAGCGTTGCATTTTTCCCCATTCAAAACTATACGTGCGGCTCTCTAGGACCGAACTTGCCTACCCCTGGTTTAGCCTAATATCTGTCAACCGGTCTTTGTGCTAAATTCTCTGCTCTGCTCTGTAAATCTCAGCTGCATCTGTCGTTGATTATACTTTTATACTGACTCTAAGCATTAGACTCTTCATTTTTAAGGAATGTTGACTCAAACTGGACTAAATGTGTTATTCTAGTTCACTGGGCTGCACCTAGTCACATGGTTGTATCTGTGAAAGAATTCCCCCCCCCCCCTCTTTGTCTCATCTTGGATTTCATTCCCTCCGCTTCCTTGTTTTCTCTTCTGCTTCAGTCTGGGTGTGGCTGCTGAAAAAGTCAGGAAATCGAGAGCACTGCTCTGTAAGACAGCAGATGAGATGGTATCTCGGAGCACTTAGGCTCCTCTGGTAGGGAGGGGGTCTGCAGTGCTTTGTTCCATGAGTGCACTGTCACCAGATCACTGGGAAAGGGTGTAGAGAGGACAAGATCGCCATCAGCCCCATGAGGGATATCACATCCTCCGCTTGTAGAGGTTAAATGGCAAGGTTTTGAAAAATGGTACCGTGCTGAATGATCTCACATCCACTTTGTCTCGAATAACTCTTGTGCAAGAGACTGACTGAGCTATGAATTTGGATCCACAGATCATTTTATGGCATAAGACCAATTTGCTTATCCTCATTGCATGTAAAAGAGCAGCCAGTACGTTATTCAAAATCTCTCCTTTTGTGTTCCATTAAATAAAGTAAGTAATTCAGGTTTTGAACTGTTCTTTAAAGGGATAGTTCACCCAAAAATGAAAATTCTGTCATTTACTCATCGTCATGTCGTTCCAAACCCGTAAGACTTCTGTTTATCTTTGAAACACAGATTAAGATATTTTTAATGAAACCCGAACGATTTCTGTCCCTTCACTGAAAGTCAGTTACACCAAAACTTTTAAGCTTCAAAAAGTTCATAAGGACATTGTAAAAGTAATCAATGTGAATCAAGCAGTTTAATCTAAATCTTTTGAAGAGAGAAACATTTTTATATATATAATATTTAATAATAATTTAGGTTTTCAATCACTTAGAAATATTTATGGGCACACTTTATTTTAAGGTCCAATTATTGCTATTAACAAACCATTAATTACGACTTTTGCCTCAATAAACTCCTAATTTGCTGCTTATTAATAGTTAGTAAGGTAGTTGTTAAGTTTAGGTATTGGGTAGGATTAGGGATGTAGAATATGGTCATGCAGAATATGTTCTTTATATGTACTACTAAACAGCCAATATGTTAATAATAGGTATGCTAATAAGCAACTAGTTAATAGTGAGAATTGGTCGCTATACTAAAGTGTTACCGTATTTATAAACGCACATACACAGAGCACATACATATATGGTAAACATAAGATGAACGGAAGTCTTATGGGTCTGAAACGACATGAGTTGGGGAGTTTTTTTTATCTCTTTAAGCTTCAGTAAGTGTGGTAAACAAGTTGCTCCAATAAGTGTGCTGTAAGTTGCTTTGGATGAAAGTGTCTGCTAAATGTTATTTACTACTTGCTCTCCTATTCGAATTGTTCAACAGGGATGACTTCAATATCCAAGTCCTTCACGCTTTTGTGGAGCTGCATGAGTTCACAGATTTGAACCTGGTTCAGGCTCTCAGGTAAAACTGACTGTAGAAGCAGCTGTTGTTTGAAATATTTAATATATTTGAAAAAATACTAGTATATGACTTCTGTAATTACTGTATAAAAAATAAGTACACTGACATTTCATTATAAATATAACTATATGTCTTTTTCCAGAAGATTCTTGTGTAGTTTAGTCTCATTGGTTAGGGGATTGATCCTGACGCACACACTCCTACGCATCTCACTTTGAATGTCCTGGTGTAGTACATGTTTTAAATATTGTGATGTTTGTCTCCACACAGGCAGTTTCTCTGGAGTTTCAGACTTCCTGGTGAGGCCCAGAAGATCGACAGAATGATGGAGGCGTTTGCCCAGCGCTACTGCCAATGCAACCCCGGCGTCTTCCAGTCCACCGGTGGGTCTATTTCCATTTGAATCTGTGTTTAGCGTTCAAACATGCATTCATAGCATTTCTAAGAAGCACGAGCTCTGCTTTTCCCAGTAATGCTCACAAATTGAGAGTTTGAAGTATTGAATTGGACATATGCATTCTTCTCTAAATAAATGCCATTTACCAGTAGCCTATATTTCCAACATAAAGCAAATTCAGGCAAATGGCATCAGAAATTGTATTGTGTGTAAATACTTGTAATGTTTTGAAATCCCTCACACATATATTTACAACCGAGTTCTCTCATTGGTCTCTTTGCTGTAGATGTATAGACACTTCATGTCATGATCGCCCTCAGTAACTTCACAATCATACTACTCATTAGCATTCATGCGAGTTACAGTACGAGCATGAAATATTTAAATAGCTTCATATTCAGGCTAGTGTGTCTCAGTGCTGGAAAATGCTATGATCAGATGCTGAATGTCAGTGTGACAGTGTCATGTGTTTTTTTTTTTTTGCAGACACATGCTACATTTTGTCCTTCGCCATCATCATGTTAAACACCAGCCTTCACAACCCAAACGTTAAGGACAAGCCCACAGTAGAGCGTTTCATCTCCATGAACAGAGGCATTAATGATGGAGGAGACCTTCCAGAAGAACTGCTCAGGGTTGGTCTCTCACTTTTTTTCCCACATATTTATATTGTTGTTTTTATTATTGTTGTAGTCTTTCTCCAAGTGACGTACATTTCATGTGTCCCCAATTTATTCTACATCTGGCTGTCTAGGACCAGAAATGAGGAACCCTGCCCTAGATCTAGGGTTATAATATGATCAGATTGTATCCTAAATTTCATAGGTTACATTAAAAATAAGTCATATAAATAAATATATTTTTTAAAAGGCTGAGCTTCTGCCTGTCTCTTTGAAAGAGTATGCTTCTTGGTTGGAATATAATGTGTTTTCAAACATGTTTATGAATTTTCCAACATGGCAATTGAAAAATTGTTATAGAAATGTAGTCACTGGTTATGTTAATGAATAGTGTGCAAAATAGGGTTAGAAATGGTAAGTAGGCCATGGTTGCACCCACTTTCTTGAGGACTTTGCCCAACCATTCTGAATGAATAACTTGCATGCACTTCATGGTATTTTGCTTTGACTCATGCAGAATCTATATGAGAGCATCAAGAACGAGCCCTTCAAAATTCCTGAGGATGACGGCAATGACTTGACACACACTTTCTTCAACCCAGACAGAGAGGGCTGGCTGCTCAAACTGGGTGAGTGGGACTACTTGAGTCAAAATATGTATTCATTTTTGTGATGATCGTGCAACTCAACTCTCAGATATATTTACCTTTGAATAAGAGATGTCCTGCTCAAACACATGGACTGATTGTGAGATTTACACACATGTACACACACTTCCCGAAAGCCCATTTTATGATCTTCACAACACATCCATGCATCAGATTATACAGTAGCACATCTTTCCCTCTTCTCTCACGCTGGATCAATATCTCCTCTCACATCATATGAAGGTAATGACTCTTCGTGATCACAATGAATCAGCTGCTTGAGGCTGAACGCATCCTTTTAGAATTAGACATAATTCAGTTGGATGTTAGAAATCAGAGTCCTGTCTTGAAAGGTGCAAGAGAAACTGCTCCTTCAGATGGGCAGCCTGTATATGTAATGTTTTAGAAATCTATTCATAACCTAATAACCTGATCTATTCATAATCATAATACCCTATTTACCCTTTGGTAATCTGCAGTTTTTGGTTATAACACAAGACAACTGGTTGTTATTTTAATGAATTATGCTCATTAAAGGTGTATCCGTGAATACTGATAAACACACATATGAGTGTACCTTCTATATTCATGCATAACTAGAAAAATGTGTTATTCATGTATCAAAATTCCAAAGGAGCTGGATTTTATTAATTGATGTGACTTTTCCAGGTCTAGAAATCACACTTTTATAATTCTTTAAAGCCTCCTGGTTGAGAACCACAGCTTTAGAGCATTATAGAGTCTTCATAGAAAGCATAAATTCACGTCATGCAAGCGAATGATTTATGACGGGGATCTTCATCGAGGTTTCACAGAGAGCCTGCCAATGGTTGTTTGAAATGACAATACACATATGCCACAAAAATGTAATTTTTAACTTCAAAAGTTGGTCACCAAAGTTGACTACCATATTGTAATTCATTAAGATAACATAATTTACACAAATATGATTCATGCATATACATCAGTGATAATCATTTTAATAGCTTTGCCGTATTAGCATCAAAACAAAGGAAATTCATTAGTATTTTACTATAGCATATGATTATAGACCATGGTTAAAATGGACTGAAAAAGGTTAAAGACCCCTGAAAACTAAACTGCACCCAGAGACATTTTCCCTCTTCGTTGACATGGACAGGAAAGCTGTGTTAAATTGTGTGAATTATTATTTGTACTTGTATCCCCTGTTTTACTTTGGAACGGTCCTCCGTAATTCACAATAACAAGAAATGCACAAGTTCTTCCTTTGATCAGAGAGGCAGCGTGTGGGGAGTACGATTTCCTATTTAATTTAATTTAATTTTTTTGTTTCCTTTTCTTCCTCGTTTGTTTGTTTGTTCCCATGATTTTGGCTGTTGTCTTTCCCTCAGGAGGTATGTACACCTGTTCTTCCCAAGCAATCGCTCATCTCTCCGCTCTCAGGTGCTTTTGGTGATCAGCCTTGCTTCCTGTCCCCTCTTTCTGTTATTAGCCACCATAGGTTTATTTACTTTTTTTCCCATGGGGTTTGTCTTTCTCTGAGTTTACTCTAGTTATTACATGTTCCTTCATTTGTTTGTCTGGTCACTCGTTTTATTCATTGAATCAACGATTTTTGTCCCTGTCTCAGCGTGGTGGTGGGTGCTTGGTTTTTGATTTTGTGACCAGCGTATTGAAGAGCACCTCTCTCTGTTTGCTGTGGTATTCGAAACGTTCTCTCTGTGTCATTTCCACTTTGGGAGCTGCAGTATTTTCTGCTTCCTCTCAGTCTGAACAGAGCCCAACAAACACTGATGAAAACAGCAACAAAAGCAGACTAAAGGCATAGTTCACCCAAAAATGGAAATTCTGTCATCGTTTCCTCACCCTCAAGTTGTCCCAAACTCATATGATTTTCTCCTGAGGAATACAGCATCTGTCCCCATTCAGATTCATGTAGAGTTGGGCGATATACTGGTAGACACAATAAACTGGTGTAAATTTGTCAACATTAGAGGTTTTGGATTATCGTCTCTTTTGCGGTCAGGCAAACATTTTAACCTTTGAAACCAAGATTTAACATTTGCCTGAAATTTTGAGCCATACCAATTTAAGCATTCAGTGGTTTTAAACTGTCCAACTACGAAAGAGAATCACGTGTATCAGTTTAGTATATTAGATCCGTGCATTAGGTCTTAAAGTGACAGCAGCCTAACACACCTGCTACTGTCTGTGTAATGATAATTAAAGGGGACATAACACACACAGTTTCACCCAATCTCATGTTAATCTTGAGTACCTATAAAGTAGTACTGCATTCTTCATATCTTCAAAAACTCTTTAGTTTTATCATATTTATAAAAGAAAGATACAGCTTTACGATTCTCTCTGGAAACAGCCGAGCACCTGGAGGAGCGCCGTGGACGGAGCTAAAGATTGACGAGCAGTTCTGAATCATGACTTTTATAGCTGGGACCGCTCCATCTTTCAGTATCAAACGATGTGCAAATACAGCGTCGAACTGGGCCTTGTTTCTAAAACGCTCGTCAACAAACACACTTGTAAAACTGCGTTGCTGCCCCGGAAAAACAAACTGCATCCACTTTTTACATAACGCTGGGTTCTTTAGGAAGCTGAACAAAGTTATCTTTCCCTTACAACCAAAAACACACTTCTTTGGAGACATTCTTCCCGAGCGAGTCCCGTGCAGCGCTGCCACCGGCTGAAGTGTGTTGATGGGCGCAATCTCGCTCTTGCTCTGGTCAATGTGGTCGCGTTCTTCCGGGAGAAATGCCCATATAAGGAGTTCCACCCTCGTTTAACTCATGAAGAGCCACGATCGGAAAAAAAACTCTCCGAAACTTGTACGAACCCGGAAGTAAGATTTTTGGCACAGAAATACTCCGTCATACGTCCAAATTGTTTTTTTGAACTTTGTCCATGCTTAGCATGAGAATCAAACTCTTTAACCGTGTAAACAACTCTGAATGCATGAAACAGCATTGTACCCCCCCCAAACAACAAAAGACAAAGAGAAATTCACTCACTGCTCTTGACTGAATACATTTTGTAGATTTAATAAGAATTAATGTATATTTAAGTAATGTAGAAAAGACTATGCTTTAAAAAAAACATTTGATTACTTTATTCCTTTTCTGTTGTATTTCTTATTTTTGATAGATGGACCTGAAAAAGATAGACTAGACTAGAATTAGTTTCTTTTTTTAGTTCATATTTTCTTACTGACAGTAATATCTTCAGTAAGCTTTTACTTACATTATGGTTACAGATATGGTTTAGGATAACTGGGCCACATTTAGACTAGTATTAGTTTTTGCAGTGAGGTGTCGAGTATTGTGAAATAACCTTATTTTAGGCAAAACATTTTATTTTGGTATATATATATATATATATATATATAATAAAATAAAATAGTTCATATCGTGATATAAGAATGTGGTCATATTGCCCACTCCTATTCATATGGAAAAGAGCAGCTTGGACATTCTTCTAAACATCCTCTTTTGTGTTTTATTGAAGAAGAACTCATATGGGTTTGGAACAAAATGATGACAGATTTTTTTTTTTTCTCTCTCTGTGAACTGCTCCTTTTAAAATGATATTCAGTCATATAACTGTTAATGATTGAATGTACAAAATGTGGTGTTTGATCTGATTAGACTGAGTCAGAAAACTGCATCTGGACCAAAGACGGCTGTTCTTCATGCTGTATGTAAAGTATCGGTGTGTGTGTGTGTGTGTGTGTGTGTGTGTGTGTGTGTGTGTGTGTGTGTGTGAG